TGTAAAAGTTGTTGCATTACAAAGGAAGCATCAGTTTTGTGTGAAAGTCTTATTTGAGGCTTTCCCTCCAGCTCAACATCCACTTTTCTCTACTTCTCTGACCTGATCAATAAAGTTTTACACTGTTATCAGACCTTCAAAGCAAAGTCCTGTGGATGCATAATGGAGGAGAGCTACAAGAGCATGTCTCTCATTAACATTCCCCACAGTCACCTTCAACAATACGTTCGCCTTGACTGCGAGTGGCAGCTCTCAGCGGGGAGTTGGATTTCTCCGCTCTCATGTCAGAATATTTTAATGTGTCATCAAAGTGGCAGCTCGTTTCTGGCGTGGTGAAAAAACACTAAGCCCGAGCCAAACACTGGAACAAGGAGTCTGTCTGAGGGATAATATTAGCATACTGCCTCTGCTGTTTGATACGAGAACCAATTCAGACTAGACTTTATTGACTCTGAGGCAGGCTGAATGCTGCAGTGATTGTGGACCTTTGTGCCGCTGGCATGAAATAGAGATTGTAGCATAGGCTGTGGATGCATGTAGCGTGTTTCCAGGCGTGTGTGTGTGTGTGTGTCTGTCTGTGTGTTCCTCACTCTGACTCAAGCCGAGCACTGTGACAAGTCTCTTAGATCCTACTTTTGTTCGGACTCGTTTTCCTGCACAGCATCCAGCCTCTGTCTCACATCTCAACCTGCACAGTCAGAAAACATTTAGATGCGGACAAAAAGTAAAACAGTTTTGGCATCTTAGGTCAGATATGCTTTGTCTCAGCAAAGCTTGGGCTGATATTCGATATTACTGAATAATCGATAATATTGAATATCGCATTATTCCCACCATATGTGATATTGGTCACTTTTTTATTTTTGCAGTTTTGAAATGAAGCTAAGCCCAAGTTCAGTCAGGAAGACTATCTTCATGCCTCATTCATTCACAATTCTCTCTCTCTCACTCTCTCACCCAACCTCTGGTAATCAGCTGACTACAGGTGTTTTCCGGTAAACCAATCAGATTTTGCAACGATTTCAACCAGCCAATCCCGTTGCCGCTGTCACCTGCTGCGATTCTCCTCCACCCCATTCAGTTTTCATATCCAGCGCTTAGGTCGAGCTCATCAGAGTCCACTTCACACCAACACCAGTGTCCAGACAGCGATAGGAGGGGTTTCCTATACTTCACACAGCACCCCCCGCCTCCCCCCTTTCAAATATGATGACATCACAATGGGACTCTCACTTTTCCTCTCTTGTTTGACAATGCTTATGAAGTAAACGCCCTCCTGATTGAACTGATGCTCAGCGGCAGCACCGTTTAAATCTGAAACATAAAATAACATGAAATTCGATAGCATAATTATGTGTGTATGGCGTGTTGTATCATTTAAAAAGCTGCTTCACCAAAAGGAGAAAAATATGCCTCCAAACAACTCCTCATTTGTCTCATTCACCTGCTGTATCCTGTTTAGTCAGAGTCTGAAATCTTAAACAAGACGCTGCGGTTTTAGCAGCATTTGTGCAGAATCTCATGCTGCAATCAGAAGTCAGCCCTAATCACATTATCATTATTATCATCATTGGGGTTGAGAGCCTCTATGAGCAGCTCTTCAGCCTCTAGTTTCTCTGAAGTGCTGGTGGAAAGGTACCACTTGTGTTTGTGTTGCCTCTGCTGCTTTTGCACCTCGCCGTCCACAGCCTGCGTGACTCATTTCCTTTCGCAGAGGCTCTGAGCGCTTCAGCCACAGTTCAAAGTCTGCAGAAAGAGGAGCAGGGCCTCTGCACCGGCTCCAGTGTTTAAACAGCCGCAGATGAAAGAAAGCAAACTCTCAAACTCAGCACGCCTGCCCGTTAAACCAACAACTCCAAACTCTGTCGTCCTTGTTCTGACTTGTAATTGAGGCGTGTGTGCCGTTTCCTGCTCTTCATTACTTGAAAAGTGGAGTCAGTTTACACAGAACCAGACTGACAGTCACCGCCGCCTAAACCAAACCGCTGCCTCCGGCCTCACACCTGTCGTCTCAGACCGCAGTGTGAGCTGTGTTAACAGGCTCGGCCCTCTTGTCTGCCCAATCGCAACCCATGACCGGGGATATCTGATCCAGTGGTGGCCAACAGCTGCATCGTGTTTTTCAGCACTCCCCCTGCACACCAGACACACACACTTACAGATCTCCCCCGCTTGGCCCTGAATGCACCATGGATGCAGAAGTATTTGTGAGCAGAAACCGAAAGACTTAAAGTAAAAATGCAAGTTTGAATAATAGTCATCTTTGTGGGAATGTGGCCTGAGGAGATGAATTACTCAACAGTGAAGAAAAAAAAAAACGAACCCCCGGCTGCAAGTGGACTCACGCATGCTTACTTCCTGTTCCAGACTAAATTCTAGCTATAGACTATGCTTGCATGCATATAAGTCATCCTCTGGAAAAGAATGTATAGTGAATTTAATGGAAAAACTCCCAAGATATGCTGCTATCTTCCCCAGAAGACATTTAGTGATTTATTTTAGCCACAAAGCCACAGAGAAAACCCAGAGACGCTGATGAGAAAAACAACTTTATTCCAGGTCCAGCTCACTGTAGTAATGAGAAAGCGTGCGGAAGAGGTCACGCCCACCCTGCAGACTGTGAGGTGGGCCCGGTTGTCTCACTGCTGACTGATCTCTCCTCCGCAACATAAATAATCGGCGCTGAACACTGCTGGCAGCGTTCCAGCTCGGCTAAATTGAAAAACTTGGGGAGTGATTTGGCCGCTGATGAGAAAGTGATGTGCATGCAGCTGAGTTGCTACAGGGGAATTTGAAGTTGTTTTATTTTTCTGATGCAGAACAAACTGCGGAGTGTGTGAGGCGCACAGCTCCTGAGTCCACCTGTGGAGCCGGGGACCGGACTCAGGTCTAGTTACAAGCTGTGATTTATTATGAAGAAAACTTCTATTATATGCGACTAATTTCAAGGCATTAGTATAATTTTAATACAGGAAATTTGTGGTGCCTTCAAACAATGACAAACGTGCAAAACACTGTTTCTTTGGTGCATAATAAGATTTATTTCTTGGCTGAGTGAAGTGACTTCCTGGACTTGTCTGGCTCCCTTCACAATGATGACAAGATTCCAGGAAGTAACTGCACCCGTCCAAGAATGAGTCCCACGAGAACTGGTCTCCATTAAAATCACAACTTATATTATTTTATCATTTTTACAATTTGGTTTTTGTTACGGATTAAACAAACGAGATACAACATGTTTATTAGTGAGCTTTAGACGTGCTGGAAGGCAAGAGTCTGTTTTCTGCCTGCTTTGCTCGTCTTGCCAAGAATTAGACGAGCAGACCAACATTCTCACGTCTGTTTTCTAAATATGTAGCTGGAGGCAGCAGCTTAGCATAAAGACGGTGAGTCAAAGGTAGCAGCATCTCAAAGCTCACTAATTAACACATCATATTCAGCTTTAAAAAAAAAAAAAAAGTATTAAGTTAAATATTTTCTTTGTGATCTGACCTGTGATGGAAGAAGAGAATAACACAATAAGCAGCAGGCGTTCAATGACCTTAGAGCTTCAATAGTGACTTCACAGGCATCCGTACTGAAAGGACCTGGTCTCCATTATGTAAAAACACTTGAAATATTACATTTTAATGGCCAATGCCTTGATACTTGATACAAAAACTCAACAGCTGTGGCTGTGCAGTAGGTGAAGTGTTCTTGTGAAATCAAATTTAATAAAGCGAGTTCACTGGTGTATCATGTTGTCGTGATTCGTAGCAGACATGTTGCAGTGAGTGTATCCTTACATCCGTGATGCTATGCTATGCATTAACTTATAAAACCAAACTAACCTCAACTTCCTCACTTTGCACAGTTTCTGCAGTCTCAAATCTGAGGACACAAACACACACACAACCACACACACACACACACACACACACACACACACACACACGCATATAAGAAGACGCCAGAGTCTAAACAGTTCACATTTAATGCCCTGGGCTTTATTGTCTTATTTTAGTGAGAGTTCTGTCACATTTTTTTAGTCTTTTCAGCCTCCAGGTGGGACAAGTAAACCTCAAGGATATATCCTGCCATTGGACTGGGCATTCAGATTCTGACAAAGACGAGAAGCACTACTAAGTAATGCTGCCTTTGTGCCTAACTCTTCACAGAAGAGAGAACATAAAATTCCCCAAAGGAAGGCACCCAATACTTGTGGTTTTTGGCCTTGCAGCCGTCTGGAGATTCTTTTTTCAAAGAAAAAGAAAAAAGAAAAAAGAAAAAAAAAAAAAGAAAAAGAAAAAAAAGGAGAAGTGAGGGGAGAAAAACGGTTGTTTTCTCACGACCTCTCCGACCCCTCGTTAGCATTTTTTTGTTATTAAAAACTGGAATGATGAAACACGTACAGCGATTACTGCCCATTCACCTCCCTTATTATCACCTATGCATGAACAAGTAACAAATTAACAAAAGAATGAAGTCTTTCAATAAATGAAAAGCTTACAATCAAGTTTACCACAAGAACAAGAAAAAAAAAAATTATACAAAAATAACTCAGTTTTTGTTTTACAAAAAATGTTTGTGGGATAAAACAAATATAAAGGGGGACTCCGCTTGCATGAAAATGAAGGACAACCCCTTTGAAAACAAAATACAAAAGCAGCATCAGGATATTTATCAAAACCATGAAAAAAAAGAAAGAAAAGAAAACATCACAAAAAATAGTGCTTTAATCAGAAGCAGCAAAGGCTTCTGGGAAGAGACTTCATCCCTGTTTTGTTACTTGTGTTTGGGACAATGCTTATGCACGCTCCCGGGAAGAGAGGAGCACCCTCTTCAAGCCAACACACCACCACCTCCTCTTCATCCTCCTCCTCCTCCTCCTCCTCCTCCTCCGGGTTCTCCTGGCCTCCCGGTCCTGTATGTATGTCACCATTGATTTTCACATGATAAACAGAGAGAAGCACAGGGACCCAAAATAAATGTGAAGGGGAAATGGGGGGGGGCGAGGGCGGGGGTGTGGGGGTGTGGAGGGGGACCTGCTTTGTGTTCACAATATACAAAAATACCCAGGAGTCCGTAGCTACCTAACATTTACTACAGCACATGAACCAACAAAGGTACAGTGTACAAATAAAAAAAACAAAACAAACCAAAAAACAAAAACAAAAAAACTGTAAACACAGCACAATAAATAGATAAAAACAGCAGGCTCCGCACCATGCACATGAAGTGATAAAACTCTTCTCTATACAACTCCCACATCTCTCACACTCGCCACAAGTTACTTGGCTTTACTTTTTTTCCTTTAAGTTTGACTCCCAAGTGCAAAACATCACAAATGGACAGTTCTGTATTCAAGTAATATATACAAGGGGGATATTACAAATATGTAGTTACTGTACAGATACTAATTTTTGCCATATTCATAATTTACAGATGTCAATCTTTTACTTTTAACAGTAACAAAAACAAAACAAAACAAAAAAAGGTTTAAAAAGTATGAGAGATGAGAATTGCAAGCGAGCGGCCGCGGCCTCTCGTCGTTCTGTCAGTCTGCGTCAGAGTCCTGCTGTCCCTTTTGCATTCCCGATGCTACGATGCACAGCACCTAAAAGAGCGGACTCCTCGCTGCACCGCTACTACGTCACCTCCATGGCCACTGTGTTGTCTGCTATACTGTTCAGTGCTGGCTTGTCTTCGTCGTGATTATCCCTGCGGAGAGGGACAGGAAATAGAGAGACATTAAGCTTTCTGTTACCTTTCACGTTTGATCTCCTGTGTGGCCGGCTGTTTTGTCGAAATTAAATCTTTAACTGTCCCAGATCTCGGTGGACAGAAGAGCTCTGACGTCAGTTATTGCAGCTTTTCTTTCAGGCTGATTTGTGTGGATTCTCAGCTCTGCATTATCTCTGGCAGACGCTGCATTGGCAGTATTTAGATAGGTGCCAGGTCCAGCTGAATACTTAAAGAAGGGATTTTATTATTAATGCAAAGGCTTTACTGTTGATCATCCAAACAAATGTTACATAAAAAGGAAACCTCATAGTGCTGCAACAATAGTGAGAAACTTATGCTAAATAATAAATTCTTTTCCTCTGGGTCTGAATATTTATATAGTCTTGTTTTTTCTTTGTTAATGTGCATGTGCATCATCGTGTCTGAGACGCCGCCATAGGGAATCAAACTACTGTCTGATCGCCCCCACACCTGTGGAGGCTTCAAGTCTGTGCAGCTTTAGTTCTGGTGTAAACTCATTAAAGACTGTGGCTAAACGTAGGTTTATTCTGCAACAGCATGAAGTCAATAAAAACAAATGTCTTTTGTCGTGTTTTATGTGAGATCTTATAAGAATAGATAAGATGAGATGTCGTACGTCTGATACGGAAATGAATGGAAACCCAGGTGAAATATGTTGTTTAGTTTTAGCTTCAGAGGAGCCAGGCTAGCTGTTTCCCTGTGTTTCTAGTCTTTATGATAAGCTAAGCTAATGGACATGCCACCCTGGTGGAGCAGAGTCTCACCTTGAGCCCATGTCCATGGGCGATGCTCCGGAGACTTTGGGCATCTGCAGGTTTGTGGTGGCGGACAGCTTTAAGGCAGAGGGTGGCACGTTGCCGAGGGTCCGGGGGATGTGGCGTCCGGCCAGGCTGGCGGCCGACGGCACGCTCAGACAGATGTTGTTCCCGATGAGGACCTGAGTGGTGGCGGGGGTGGCGTTGGCGGCGCTGCATCCCAGGAGCCCCAGCGCTGCTGCCGCATGGGCGCTGGGCGTGGAGGTGAGGGAGGTGGGGACGGCGTTGGCGGGTGAGGGCGCGGCCGAATTGGAGGAGGGCTGGAGGAAGGTCGGGGCTGAGGAGGCGGTAGTGTGTGACGACTGGTTGGTCTGGTGAAGCGCTGCTGTTGTGCTGGAGAGGTGCAGGCCTTTAAAAACACCTGTTTGAACAGGAGAAAAGTTCTGAGATAAAAGCAGCAGAGTGTAGTAAAACACCTTTCAGTGACAAACCACTTCACGAGCTGCTGCTGCACTAATGCAACCTCATACAACAGCGCTGCAATAAATCCCGTCTTAGTGAAGCTTATAAAGTTCAGATTTTGACGCAACTCTGTGTTAACTGTTGAGGCTGCTGGTGGTGATGTTGCTGTAATGGACTGTATTATATTGATAATTGCTTTCAATGTTTTTTCCACCCTAGTTTAAACCCAAGGGGAAGAGGGAGGGGGCTGCTGATTCTAGGTCTACATCTGCTTCAAATGTGTAGTTATATGTTCATTTGGAGTAAAGTTTTTCCAAACATTAACCACTTCAAATAAAACTTTCCCAACCTTTTTGGCTTGGGTCCCCTTAAAATGAACCGATTCCTTCTTGCACCGCCTCAACTCAGTATGTGAGTGTGTGATAAGCTGTAAGCAGCTACTTTTTCTTCATGAATTGATTCGTTTGGAGGATTTTTCAAGGCTTTAAGGGGCAGAAAGTATCCAGTATTAGTTTAATTAGTAAAATTTGAATTACCATATCGTGGCAGTCTGCCTCCGCCACTCAGAGTAGTTTCAAATTACATCACTGTTTATCCAGAGACATAAAATATCAACCATTTGGGTGCAACTTTGTCAATTGGTGTGTGAAGTCTTGAGTTATGGCTAAAAATTGTTTTGTGAGGTCACTGTGACTTTGACCTTTGACCCCCAAAACCTAATCAGCTCATCCTTGAGTCTTCATGAATGTTTGTGGCAAATTTGAAGAAATTCCTTAAAAAGGTGTTACTGAGACATCGTGTCCACGAGGATGGGACAGGTGTATGTACGTGTGTAGGGACAGACGTACAACTAGAAAACAATAAGTCCGGCTCTGGCTGTCGCCGGCGTGGAGGCATAATTAACCAATAATATAATAAGCGACACTCACCTGCACCTGCCAGGACCCCGTTGACTCCGCTCGCCAGCACCAGCTCCTCTTTGGACTTGAAGGCCAGCAGCTGGTCCGTGGTGACGAGGGCCGAGGCAGCAAACTGGGCGCTGGCCTGGTCCAGCGTCTTGGACACAAGTGCCTGGATGGAAACCGAGAGAGAGAGAGAGAGAGAGAGAGAGAGAGAGAGAGAGAGAAAATATGGGTCTGTGCCAAAGACTCGACCGCTCTGCTACAATGTAATGAAACTGCTGAGCTCAGCGCTTCTCCTGGCAAACAGGAACCAAGCCAGTGGCATTAATACTGCTCGTGGGAATGAGGATGTCTCTCATTTCCTGGGGATGGGTGAACTGACCTTCAACTGTAAATGATTTCCATATTGGGAGAACTCTGGCTCATTTGCGTCTATTTGGGACCCGAGCAGCAGAAAACGACCCCATAAGTTCAGTTAACGTGGGAGAAGTAGATACAAATCCAATTCAGACCAGATATCAACACCTGAGAGATAAAACCTTTGTCCTCTTACGACACTTATGCCCACAATGTCTTGACACCTATCTGCTTTTTGTGTTATAAAAACTTTTACCACAAGGCTTTTGAGTTGTGTGTCCATCCTGACTGACCTGTGTGTTGGTGGTTGTTGCAGGGATGTTGGCTTGTTGCTGCTGTTGGCTCTGCTCCAGCTGCTGTTTCTGCATGATGGCCAGCTGCTCCTGGTGCTGCTGGTACTGCTCTGCTGTGAACACTGTGAACAGGAAGGATGAGACGTACCAGTCAGAGGCAGGATTCGGGAAAGTTATCCGTGTGTGTGTGTGTGTGTGTGTGTGTGTGTATGGGGTTAATTTGGTGGTTTGCAGCTGAAACTTTTGTCCATGTTTTCAGACACAATAACAGACTGAACAAGTCTGGTGTGACTGGCATGTTTTTGAAGGTCAGTACATGAAACGCTATTGTACTGAAGTTGACCTCAGTTCATATTCATCAGTTTTTACAAAAACCAAAATGAAGGTTTTGTATTTCTGTACAAATTTCACTCCGGTCAGGACGAACAAATTAGAGGGCATTAAAATATTTGCTGAACCAATAAAAACAAGTTATTTCAAAGCTACAAGGAGACATGACCCCCTCACAATGATGTGGAAACTACTTTCAAACTTCAAATAATTGATACAAATAACATTCACAATCATCACCATCAATATAATCTGAGACAGCTTTTCAATGGAAATAATAGTAACTGTCTATACAAGAGCAACGCCTCAGGGAGCTTTCAGAAAACAAGAGCACTGTGGCACAACAACACAATGGTGTAGTCGTAGGTGTGTTGCTTACCTATCTTCAAGGTAAAGAAAAGGAAAGTCCGGTTTGAAGGTTTATCAAACACAAAGTCCCACAGACACATGCACACACACACAGTTTATACTCCTGAGGCCTGACTGTACAGCTTTCACTCCTGGTTGCACAAAGGTAAACGCTTCAATGTATTCTACCTTTGGTGTGAACTTGCACATATTTGAGTGGGGCTGACGATATGCTCATGTCCTGATTCAATACTAACAGGATATCTAGGTGCCGATTTGATATGTATTGCAATTTTTAAGGAGTCTGCAAGTACTGCGACTCACTATTTCGATTTATTGTGATTTATTGTTTACTTTTTAAACACTAGACCATGGGGGAAGAAGCTCAATCATACACTTCTGGAAACTAGGTATATCTTGAGTCATATTTGCATTTATTGCATACTATTGTAATTAAGTTAAATGACATACTGTTATGTTGAAATGAATCACCTGGGACAACTGGTGCTTTTGTTCTGAAGCACCAAGCTTATCTTACGCAGGAAGTGCTGATGTAGCTGCTGAGAACTTGTAGCTTCCAGTCAACAATAGTTAGTTTACCTGTTAGTAGTCAGCAGTACCATGATTTTTCCCCACCTTCCCCACCCACCTGATTGGTCAAAAGGGTTAATTGCCAAATAACGCTGCATTGTGTCGCAGAAAAAAGTATCAAGCCAGAACCAAACGGGTAAAATTTTCACATCTGCTCAATATAAGATGTCAAGGACATGGGCTGGGTATCAAACCTCAGTGTTTTCTTACTCTTTGATAACCAATTTTCTGTTTAAAATCATAATTTTGCAAACTAAAGGCAATGTCCTTGTACAGCTGATGTGTTCATATGAAAAAACAAGGGTGGCTTCGTAAAACAAAAACACTAAATTCCTAAATCTGTATGTGCTGATTTTCACCCATCCTTGCTGTGGGCAAACTCTATATAACAAAGGTATATATATTCAACCACCTTACACTTTAATTACCGAAAGAACCCTCAATAGGAAAATATTTAGCATTTTTCCCAATAAAAAAAATCAAACACAGGCCTACACAAATAATTTCTCCATTCCACACATACTAATTTCAAAACCAGATGTCTTCAGCAGGCCACATTTTCATAACTACTTTTTAAGATATTTAAAAGTTCAATTGTCAGTGTCAGAAAGTCTTGCACAGAAGTTACCGTAAAGTAACACCGAGGTTTACAGCAACAAAAATGCCACAGAAATAAATAATTCTTTAACATATTTCACAAATATTATATAAATTTCATTTTTGCAAAATGTTATATTGACCAGATTCAGACTCCTCAGATTTGTGTAGAAAATCCAAAATTGCTGATCAAATAAAATCAGATGTTCGACCCTAAACTTTGCCATGGTATCAACAGATTATCAAGTTTAGAGAACAGGTTTTTATCCCATGTAATTTGCTTGACATTCTGCCATCTTCCTTCACCAGCTCAATGTGGTTCAAATATTCAACAACCTCTCTGCTCTCCAGCCACCAGCCCAGACTCACCCTAGCACATCTCATGAATCTATTTATACAGCACCATTTCTAATTGACTCCCCTAAGCCAGGGGGAGCAGGAATTAATTTATTATAATATGGAACGAAGGTCTGAAAGCAGAAAGTTCATGTGATTTAACAGCAGTATGGGAGCCCCGGGCTGCAGCGGAGCAATCTACCTTGGAGGCACCTCATCAAAAAGTGTTACACAAGAGCAGCAGCAAGCCACGACCAAACACCGCTGAGCTGGCTTTGAAAGCCAAACTTTTTTTTAAATTTTTTTTTTCCCCCCTTACTCCCCCTCCTCATCACTCCAGATTCACATGCACAAAATCATTAAAACAACCGCACCTCACATAATTTTATGCATGGAGAAATTTTTCAATTACATCCCTCCACATGCACACCACAAAGGCAATTCTCCCAATTCCTCTTTTTGTACTTACTACCCTTTGTACTGAGAGATAAAGAGCTGAAGTCTGACAGAGAGGATCGTCTAATAGTCAATGCAAACAGCCTTTCCTGCCTGAGCTCTACACAAACTATAAGGAGAATCTTTTCAGACTGTCATTATACATTTAACTTCAATTAGGTTTGGGTTATATTTACGCATGCTGGGTGTATGTGAATGGTCAAGCATGTGTGCATTTTCAGGCGTGTTAGTCTGGACTGAGATCATTTTCGTTTTAAAATGAACCATTTCAAAATGAAAACGTAGCAGAGCCAGAAATTTGTCATCCATCAACAGATTTTGCTTTGCCGCTTACACAGAGGTTGTTACCTCTTAAATCTATCTGGCAGAAAATGATGCAAATCAGAGAATAGGTCTCCGTTAATGGAAAGTTTGGGCTTAATTTTTATATTCTAATCTTATTTGGACTTTAATTAACTGCATGAGCCAAAACAGAACTTCAAATCTACTTACACACACTTGTAAAACTATGAAAGACTCTAAGGTTTCCAGTAATTTCGACTATATTTCTTTGTATATTGATAATACAACATATCATATTTACATCATGAAATTGGTAAGGACTCTCTTTCAAGACTCTTGTGATAAGTATAGGCAGCAATAACAGGTTATGGACTACCACAGTATGTCACAAGATCAGAATGTGAAAAAATGTGTATAATCATAAATAAAGTTGCCAGTAAAAATAATGAAATATTCTAGAAACAATGGCAGAGACAACCTAAGAGCAGTCTAATGCCATCAATACAAATAAATATAACTGATCTAAAACTGTCAGACAATAAATTAATAACAACAGATTCCAGAGCCTGAAGATTTCAGACAAACACTTTGGCAGAAAGAAGTCTCCCGTTCCTAGCGGCTGTATGTTGACACCTGATAACAAAAGTTTCCAAATGAGCTGAGGGAAAACTGTTTCCAAGCTCAGACTGAATTCAGCACCTTCTTTAATTACAGCAGAGAGTGCACAAAGGACCACTGGGCTTTGCTAAATTTACTCCGAGAACTACAGCCAGAAACACTAACCTTGTGGAATGACAGTTTATCAAAGCTGTGTTAAATGAACTCCTTGTGATGCCAAGAAACCTTTGCATACAAGCAATAAAGCAATAAAATAAACTGTTCCACTGTGTTCGGACCAATGAAAATATTTAGCTGTACAAATTTTAGACGCACGATGCCAAAGATGCCAAAGATGCCAAAGATGCAAAAGAAAACACTGAGCAGTGTCGAGGAAGAAACAAGACTCACCGTGGACAGGGGTGGGGGCCGAGCCAATGCGGTTCTGGGAGCCGGATCCTCCAGACAAGGTCCGGGTTAGTCCTGACACTGTCCGGCTACAATCCCTAAATCCTCTGCGAGACAAGTCTCCGCCACCCAAGGGGTGATGGGATAGCGTCCGTGGTCTGAAGTGCCTCCAGCGGCAAGATTTAATGTTCAAAAGAATCTGGCTGAGGTCCATAGGTGTTGGCGATGGCGACGACGACAGGGATGATGAAGAGGTGGGGAGGTGGGAGGAGCTGGTTGGGTCCGAGGTATTGGTTTCTGAGGTACTGGTGTTAGAGTTGCGGAGCGGAGAGCTTGGAAGTGGTGAGGCGAGTGGTTCGGGTTCCGGGTCGGAGTCCAGGCTCTGACAGATGTTGTCGAGATCCGTGTGCGCTCTGTCCAACAAGACCCTGCAACACAAACCCAGAATCATCATAACAAATCCTCAGCCATGACCACAAGTCATCTGAGGTCTGATGAAATGAAAAACATGCTGTAGCCATTATCAGCGCATTACAACATCAACATTGTTTGGTTATGACTGCACTATTGCACAAGTGTGGCTGTTTCTTGCATACCACTCATGTAATTATAATGTCCAGTGGGCCAGTACCAAACATAGCGAGGTACTGCACAAAAAACAGGGCAAAAGCATGCAGTTCTACCATGAGTACAGAGCAGAACACTTATATAATGGAACATAAGTTCACCACACAGCCACGTGAGGCTGAGAGGAGAGATGACACTGCTGTTTTTTTGTTATTCCAGAGCCTTACCGTGAGTAGGGCAACATTTTTTTTTGTTTGGCCTGAGGCTGATGCCAGCAGAAAGGCCATGCTGTTACTTACATCAGAACTGTACAGTGGCATTTTTAGATGTACAACTAAAAAATTGTGCGGCGTTGGCTGAAATGTCAGGGAACCACCACAGTCTTCAGGATACACTTGTGCATGTCTGTATTAAATTTCATAGAAATCCTTGTTGAGACATTTAACTCTGGAGCCAAGTGTTGGAAAGAACAACAAATCAAAAGACCAACACTGCAGTCCCTACAGGCACACTGCTAGTGTAGCTAAACAAACACACTAAGCTCCGTGTTTTCTCACACGATCGAGTGTCGCTATCATAAGTACACATCGTATTGAAGAAGGCATTTTAATTCATGGGATAAACCAATCCCTTCAGTCTCCCTCGAGGTGGGCGATAAGGTCGACTGCAGACAGAAACAGAACATCGCTGATCTCATGTTGTACATCTGTGAAAGATGCTGCCGGACCCAGTTGGTCTCCTTGACGACACCTAGCGCTGTATTAGCTGCTGGCTAACTCACCCCTACGGTCACTGTGCTTCATATGATGATCTGTGTGCTGACTGAGGAGATATTAGACAAAGCTGGAGGATACGCTTCTGTTTAAAACTCAGCTTTCTGATGTGTCTACAGGCCACAGTGGCAGGTGAATCCCAAAATGGGATTGTCATGTTCATCATTTTACCGGCCAGCTTGATATTTATAATAGAATGCGCCCGCCAAATGACGGCTGGTAACCTGCCAAAGAGCTGGTATGGTAAACAACCTCAGCAGCTACTGCCAACACTTGGCTGAGTTTCCCCCCTGCTCAGTATTGGTATTGGCATCATTCCTACACACATTTAATTTCATATTTCTACATTTTCTCAGATTTTTCTTCACTGAATTTGTATATTTTGGTATGACGGAAATATAATGAATGCAAATAGCACCTGGGCAACAAGTTGATCATAGCACACTACTTATTCTTTACATCACAACTGTTAGAAAATATGAAGCTATGCATCCATTCAAAACTGATCAATTTTTGATTTTGCCAAATGTTCAAGACCTGGAAACAATCCCCGTTCATTTCTGTCTGTGTACCTGCAGAACAATCTGAGCATCGCTGATCAAATCTCAGCAGGTGTTGAGGAAATCAAAAAACAGCAAGAATGAACTCACCTGCCCCCTCTGCCCACGCGGCGCCGTGCCAAACCTATGCAGCGCCGTGGCATGTTGAGCGAGGTCAGACAGTAGCGGAAGCGTGGGTCGCCGAGCCCGCCCTCTGACGGGCTTACCCAGGGCCAGTTGCCACTCTGGTCAGGATGAGACTGAAGGATGATGAAGAAGAGAGGCGGGAGGAGAAAACAGGGGGAAGGAGGTGATCAGATATTAAAATTAAGATGAAATAAAGAAATGGCATTATTCTATCCAGCAGTGTGTGGAAGACTTAACAGCCAGGGGAGCCAGACTGGTCAGCCTGCTGTTGGCACTATAAATAGAAGCACGGGAGTCACAGGAGGGCACTCACAGCGTAGTACTGACAGCCAGCCTTCCTCCTGAACGCAAAGCAGCCATCTGGGTCATTCTCTTCTTCTGCCTCTGAAGAACCTGAATGGATCTACACAATAAAAACAACTCAAGTTAATGAAGAGCTCAGGAATGGAAACCATGCACTTTTATATACTTGACATTATCAGTGTATTGCTGGCCAAGCATGACTTTTAGAGTTGCTGAGGAACAATGGCTGAGTGATAACAGCTTTCATCCTCTTGTTCCTCATTTGTTAATATCCACATGGAAATTGGAACTGAAATCATGTCACAACAAAAGAAGAGTCATTCACATTCGCCTGAGACAGAATCATGTTACCTGTGAGAATGGTTCTTCGTCTGAGCTGGGAAAATCGTACTGGTTGAGGTCCTTGGGATTGAACACCGAGGGCCCTGAATGTTGAGGTGCTGACAGAGGAGGGATCTTGGGTTTCTTTTCGTATTTCCTTTTGGTTCGTACTGCCTCCGTCTTCTCCGGCTGTGAAGATGGAAGTGAAACAGTGTTAAAACAGTCTGTTTAATTGAAAAGGCATTTCAAGATGCAAAGCGATATTGTTGGTGCTAGCCCAGTGTTGGTGGTCTATGAACGGAGAGTGTGCGTAGAAACAACAGTGAGTAAAAGAGGCATTGATATGCAGATGGCAGCACGTGCCAGATGCCACTGCCTAGCCAGATGGCTGTCCCCCCCTCCTCAACCCACCCCACGCTACCGTTCACCCCCAACTTCCCCAGTGGGACGACCCCTCCCTGTCTGAACAGACTCCAACTCCACTAGGATTAGTCAGATCCTATTCAGTCCTTGGACGTAGGGGACAAAAGCAAACAGAGAGGCAGGGACTCTGCAGTGAAGAGCTGCTGTGTCAAATCAATGGAAGAAATGAGGGTTAGAGTGATGAGGGAGGAGGGGGCAGAGTTAAAGCAAAAATGAGCGTCTGTAAACAAAAGGGAAAAGTCAACCAGCTGGTAGGGTAAGACAGGGGGCTGGGGGGGTGGGTAGTTGCCTCCCTGCAGGGGAAGAGGAGGGTTGTTGGACACTGGAGCTAATGAAGTTATAATGAGAAGAGGTGACACAGAGTTCACAATAATGAAGTACTTACATTAGCTCAGCCTTATATTACATGTTTTTGAATTTCAGCACATAAACTATGTACCCTTCCCCCTCAATGACATAAGTGTGATTACAGGGCATCAACATTGTGATACACAACTGAGCAACAACACGAGCATGGTAAACTACTTCCTTCAATACTTATGTATATATGCATTATTAGATCTTTTTTACCCTTATAATTCTTTTCAATAAAAAAGTTAAATCACTTCTGTAAAGAAAATCTTACTTTAACAAATAAACTTTTTTAAACGTATTTTTCTATTCTAAAAATCCAGTAATGTTCTCACAGTATGGCAATGATTTTCAATAACAATTGCCATTTAAAATGGTGCACCTTTTCAACAATGAAAATGCCAAGATCTCATTTCAGTCACTGTTCAGTGTGAGGTACAGTACATTGCAGAAATCAGCTCTTGACTCAGGTGAAGGACAAACGCAAAGTCAATAACATTCCCCAGTCTTCCGCAGACGTTCTGTTCCGACACCCTCACTCCTCACGAGCTGAAAGGGACGGAAATCATTCTCCACGTTGTTTCTGACGTTAGCCACTGTGTTGTGTTGTGTTGTGAGTTTGGCCTCACCTTCTTGTAGTCCTTCATGTCCAAGTGGTCCTGGTGTCTGTACTGGTTGCTGCTGGACAGGGGAATGATGGGGATGGTGTAGACGGGCTTCACGAGAGCCCGCTGCGCCAAAGCCTCTGCCATCACCTCGCTGCCAAAGTCTGGCATTGCGTTCCTGACAGGCACAGAGAAAAGTGTAGATGAGCTGGTGAGTAAAAGGAGGCGTACTTCCACATTAGATTAACATTTACTACAAAGACTGACATATGGAGACACCTGTGCATACTGTATTGTGATTTATACCTCAATATCCAGGAACATGATTGCTAATTAATGCTCAAATGTCAACACCATACAGCCAGAGCCAACGGACAGCCCAAAACACACAACTCTGAGACTACAAACACACACACCACGCAGTACACCTGGGTCACTCTATGCTGGCGTAATATTATGCAGTGGGCTGGAGAAGCTATCTACTGAGGATAGAGTGGTCCAATCTGGGAGTGAACACTGGCGGTGATGCGCGGGCAGAAACCAGGCCGGGATAACAAGAGGAAATTGAAATGTCACTATAAATCAAAAGCACTTCAAGGAGAAGGGTCCAATTTAAGCTCACACTGACAGCTACTTTCAGAGGAAATTCATTCCATTCGGATGTCATGTTTAGATGGATCGCAAAGGCTCCGCTGAGGAGGAAAAAAGGACAATTCAAAGTGGAAGCTCACGAGATAAAAAATAAATAAATTCAATACACAAAATAAGAAACATATAGTCCAGTGTACTGCCTAACAGAGTAGGAAAAGAAAAACTCCAACTGCCACAGAGAAGTCAATGAGCTAATTTGCTCCTGACACTACTGAATAAACAGGGTGAACTCAAAATTGATAATGCATGCAAAACAGTGTACATGACTGTGCCCTCAATTAACATGAGCAGCGAAGCCTGACTTTACAGAAAAACACGTGGGTGACTGTTTGATACCATCAATCTTGCAGACAAGTGTCCTAATGGCCTCTACTTGGGATTTTCAACTTGATGAGTAAACAAAAGCCTAATCAAACATGTAGGTTAACCACATAAGCCAGCCAAAACACCACGTGTAGTAAAAGGTCTGACATCGTAACCATCTCAGCTTGAAGGGGGATAAACATGTAGTGATTTTTTTTTTTTTTAAACCTTATCAGAAAGTGTTCCCAAACTACTCCTAGAGTGACAGAACGAGGGCACAGCTGCAAAACAGCATATTATCCAAATAAATCTGTTCATGAACATCTGTCGTCCAATTAGACAAATGAAGCATCCACTTCCCGATACGACTGCATTCTAAAGCCCTATGAAAAAGCCGCGTAATAGCAGCTAGTTGCTCTCACAAGGTAGTTGGTGCAGTGCAGACAACCACAACAACCACTGCCAAACTCTTTCCTGTCCTCATTCCCACTCTGATCTTTCTTACCTCTTCTCGACAATCTCCAGCGTGAGGTGCAGCAGTTCCCTCTTGCTCTTCTCTCGCCTCTTGATCATCTCTAGGATGGTGACGGCTCGGCTCAGGTCTCTGCGCAGCTTCAGCATCTTCTCATACGACGCCTCGTCATTCTTTCGGTTCTGAAAATGGAGCGGTTATGATTCAGACGCACACCAACACAAGTGTTTCCATTTATATTGAAACTTTTTCTGATAAAGTCTCTGAAACTTTTTTTTTTTTTTTAAATCTGCAATTTTAGGGTAATAGGGTCAACCTACACATCAAAGCTGCCTTTACAGCTATTGATATCTGAAGAAGAGCATTATAGCTGTATGAGATCTTACAGATCTCAACTTCTTCCATTTATTTTGTCGTCTCACTCATTCTTCTGGGCCGCGGACTCCTACCTTTCTGGTCTGCATCTTCTCCGTCCGTCGGCGGAAGGCCACGTAGGGGTCGCTGGTGCTAGAGCCGTCCCTCTTCTCCTGCTTGACATTGGGGATGAGGGAGCCACCCTTGCAGGTTTTCCTCTTGCGGCTCCAGTAGTCGAACACCTCCTTGATCAGCTCGTCGTCCTCTTTCAGCAGCAGTTTGGCTTCCTGCAGACTTACAAGCTGCGAAGCAACAGAGGAGTGACCAAGTCAGTGCAGGTATTCACGAGTCCCATGTATAACAAAGAAATAATAAACAAAACACAGAGGAACCTGGTGTTGTTTAAATTTAAGCAGCTACTAGTTGGAGCAGTGGCTTTCTGTAAATGTTAAAGAAACCAAGGACTGAGGCAATGACCTCTCAGATTACCAAAACACAGGGTGAGAAACTCGACTTTATTTGGCGCAGAGTGAAGCACAATCTGACTCGATGGGCTTATTTATTCTGTGTAAAGTCAAGCCAGTAATGTGTTTGTGCAAATACCCTGAAAACTAGTCATTTCCCCCACACAGGTTGACAAATACCTGCTGCCCACTGCCTTTCTCCAGTCGGTCTATCATTTCTTCAAACTGCAGGGAGGTGATTTCCATCTTCTTCTTCAGCTTATTCACAAACGTGTCATCCTCTGAATCTAGGTCGTAGTCTGGCTGCTCTGTATCCAAACTGAAAGCTGTGAGATGGAGAGCAGTTGGTTACTGGAGAAAAAGACACAGGACTCAACAACTAAACACAACTTCCCTTCTGTAAACGCTATTAGCAAGCTGTGTTGTGCACGCACACATTGAATAAGTATCAAATAATCAGGACATATTTAATTTTAACTTTCACAGGAAAACTAATTTTTCATAAATACTGTGGCTGATGACCCAAGATAAAAATATGTCATTAGGAGACTTAATGCCATGTCATGATTTTATGATGCAGAGCCATTTGTATTTAGCAGCAGTACATTTAATGCAAAGTCAATAAACATTAGCCACAGGGTATAAAATGCTCAGTCTTTAACTTCAGACAACTGCTGCCAAATGTTGGACAAAAAATAAACACACCATTTTATCATGACAAAGCACTGTGCTTGTGTTTGGGTCTGTGCCTTCACCAACTCAATAAAGCAGCGCTCGAGGACAAACACCAGCACCCGGGCTGGGAACATAACCAGCCACTTGCTCATAAATATTGCCTGTGACTTGATTTTTTTTTTTTCTTCCCCTTTTGCTTTACCAGTCAGTCTGGCCACAATCTCCAGAAATGGCCTGGGGAATCTCCAGACAATAACATATTAGTCTGCTAAAATGGGGAAAGTGGTTGTCTGTTGTAATCCATCAGCTACCATGACCCATGGATGAAAAAAAAGTAGGTTTACTGCACTGTTGCTGTCAGAGCGCCACTATAATCAACACATTAACCTGTCAAAACCTCAAGCATTTGGGAAGGTATGCAGCACTCCCACTCACTGCCCTATATTTTAACTGTTAGGCAGCAGAAAAATAGAGAGATAAAGATGATGGTGAAAGTATCTGCAACAGTGGCCCCAAAGGTTTCCCTGTTGCTGATTCAAACATACACCAAACACATGGAATTTGCTCTAATATTCAACAAATATTCTTGTTGAGAAATATTTTATATTGTGACCCTGGTTTGTTTCTTTAATGCCATTCTCTTCAGATGAATGAGCTTTTACAGTCCAGTGTTTCCCATGCATTCATGCCCTACGCATTAGCGCATTGGTTTGCTTCACGCAGTCTGGAGCAGAGGGATCAGCAAAACGGAAAGTTAAGAAAACACATGTGGGAAAGCTGAGCAATCTGACCAGTGTGATTAGCTATCCCAATTAATTTGTTTTGAATACTTCCCGGCTTGAACCGGTGCAGCTGTGGCAGCTGAAGCAGCAAGAGAGGGGCAGGAAGGGATAGCTGCAGCTAATGAAGAGAAAGAGATGTAGGAGATGATGATGAGGAGGAGGAGGAGGATGAGAACAGCAGCCAATACGAGGAGCCAGCTAGGGGCAGAAGCAGGAGGTGAGATCGAGAATAAACAGAGAGAGAGCTGTATATTGTTCAGTTATTTAATTGTGACACAGTACTTGGCAATTAAAATATTTGCAGCGGAGCACCTTATATAAAAGGTATCACCTTATGTATGGTCTCACCATTAATATTCTAATTAATTTCGCCAGCTACCACCACAATTAGATTCTAATTCTGCGGGAGACACAGCAGACACAGAAGAAACATGCCACACTTACACTGCAACTGTTGACCTGATGCTGACAACAGTTCATTTGGGTGTGTGTAAAATATTTGCAAAAAGGGAAGCATGAAAATTTTTGATAATAATACTAGTGATAGAAGGCAAACACAGCTCTTCTTTTTCTTTAACGTGCAAATTCTGTTTTAAAACAGAGCACATTGTCAGTATGATTATCTTTTCTTTCTCCACCAATAACCTGCCCCTTATTTATGTCACTTGTGGAGACTGCTCAGCTCTTTCAGATAGGGTATCTGTGATATCACAGTCTCTAAAGATAACTACCACAATATTACACAATGTGTCATGAGAGACATGCACATGTACTCTTTCACATGTGACTCTGCAGCACTTCCTTTTAAACAAATGTAAGCTCAACTAGCAGCCACTCATGCTGTTTTAATGCTAACATTGCTAACTGCTCCCTTAATTCCCCAAACTCAAACACACAAATCTCTCAATCAGCAGCCGAAACCCGGCTGAACCCATCAGACATGCCCAGCGCATTCAAACAGCAACAACATCCCCACGTGCTCACAGACCGCTAACGCAGCTAAGAGGATAATCCTGTTGCAAGCGACCCGCTACTCACGCTGTATGTGAATAAGCTGCTTTGGCATCTTGAACTCCCCGGGGTAGAGGGACTCGTAGTGCGTGATGTTGCACTCTGCCTCGGGGACGGGGATAACCATGTTGTCCCGCTTCTCGCCGTACACCTGCTGCGCCGAGATGGCCCGCTGGAGATGGTGCTCCTGGAGGAGAGAAGGAAAGCAGCTGTTCAAAATGGACTGTGCAGTTTGAGGAGCTCCGCAGAGTTTCCTCAGAAATTCCTTTCTTGATTTAGTTGTTTACTAATCTTTTTTTTGACCCCAAGAGACATGCTCGCACAAGCGAGACATACCAGTAGACAAGCGGTTTTTCATAAATATCACTTTACATGGACATGGATTGACAAATAAGAATGCTGGTGTGTACTGGGGAATAAAGATGAGCAAGACTAATTGAGCTTGTGGAAAAAATGCTGCCGTTTCATCATGAGTTTAATTAAGTGTTCGTTATTTTCCACATATACAGGAAGCCAGCAACAAGCACAAACCAAATAGAGAACCAGCATTCAAGTGCAGGACTTAACCGTGCTTATAAGTTACTGAATTGAGGTTTGCAGAGCAGGATCCTGAGGTCAGTTCACACAAGCCTCAACACATTCACAGGAAAATTACATCTCACATTAGGAGGGATTACAATTCAGATTTCTCAATGGACTAGCAGCATAGTTTGTTTTAACAGTTTGAACAAGCTATGCGGGGAAATAGCTGTAAAAAACTTGAAAACCAAAAAAACTAAACAGATGGAAATTAGTTTTCTTGATTCGTTTTCTTCAATCTCAGTATTAGTCCTGAACCATGTAAGGGGGGAATTATAGCCAGGCCATAAAAATGAATGCAAAACACAAAGCATTTCAAAACAGGACAAGGCTGCCAGTCACAGATCCTCCTAAATTCTTTTTTAATTCCTTTTACTGATTATCTTGCAGTGTTTTTTTTTTTCTTTTTTAGCTCTTATTTTCAACCTCATCTCTAATTGCTGTGGGTTTGGGAGAACATGCTATTTGTCATGGTATGTTATGGCTATATATACCATCACAGCGCTCAGTGCTGTATCTCAGAGGAATGAGTCATCAGTAGAGGGAGGGTATAGGATTTGGGGTATTGAACACAGAGTACTGTTAAATGTAGTGTCGATCCGAGCATTAAGATGAGATCCATCGTCAGTGTAGCTGCACTTCAAAGCATGTGTTTTTTGTCTTGGCATAGAAATCATTTTGAGCCGTGCACACGTAACCCTACTATCACAAAAGTGACTCATTGTTTTCATTTGCAGTATCTCTCAGCTCGAGCAAGATAATTGGAGAAAAAAATCTGTCCTAAAAAGTTTTCAGAAACGTGGGATCATGGATGAAATACCTGCAAAGTTTCTCCTGCAACAAATCACCGTGAAACCCTCACTGACTTGGCAGCCGACGCAAAGACGTTGGCAAATGAGTCAGACAGTTTGACTCTTGAACTCTGCGAGCACAGAATGTTTTCTCATTATGTAATCCGATATAGTCACCTCAAAAATGTTATATATTAATATTCATCTCTTTTTCTATGACAGATACTGCTTGCCTAAGTAACACATTACTGACAGGCCTTCATAAACATCTTAAGTGTTGGATGACTGATGAGAATGTAAGCACAGACCTACTTTCGGCCCAAGTTATGGCATTTGCATCAAAGACACTGCAGCCTGTACGCTCTCTCTGCACTACACAATCTTTTCAGGCCTATTCTCAGCAGTTAATGCAACAGATGGCCAATCCAGTCAAACTGACTAAGACCAATCTTTCACCAACAAGTACTTTAACAGGGCTCCTACTCATTTTACACATTTTTTCCCACAACAATGATTTCTTGGGCGGATTTTGAGACATGGGTCAGTGTTCCATGACCTATCAATTGTGGCTGGTAAATGCAATGATCGACAAAACCATATCTGTGCTTGGGCAATTTTTCATTACCCGAAAAATATTCAATTTTAGACATGTCAGCATTTGTGTGGGAGTTTTAAGTGGTTGGAGCCTTAAGTATAATCCAAAGCCATGAGGAGCTCTGCATGCAGTAACAGGAGAACCCTATCAGTGCTGTGAGCTGGCATAAAAGGAAGCAGCATGTGTCCAGAGCTGAACCATCTGCCCCTGGTAAGCTCATCAACAAGCCCGGTGTTGTACTTTCTCTACAACCAACACACACAAAGATAACAGCCTATTGTGTCAACTGGACCATCATGAATTTAACTTCAAGGATCTTCGGACTGAAGCAAATGAAGTGTTCATCCAGGAGGATTCAGACAACATCCATTGCCCACTGAAGCCCGACCGGCTTGTTGGTGGCTCTACATGAACATACACATACAACAAACTGCCATCTATTCACAAATCACTTACAATTTGTTAGCAACTTAAGCTGGCACGTTACTCTAAAAGCAACTGATTTTGGCATGTTCACACATGCAAATCACAGGTTTTGGATGAAAACAAAGTGGTTATTTGGCTTTGATTGTTGCAGTGTGTGCAGACTCTCCCAGCCAAACTTGTTGAGAATTTTGCACAGTGTGGTTCACTGCCCACAGAATACACAACCCCCTGCAATCAGCCACCCATTTTTGTGTGCTTAGCCAGTCTAAAACTATTGCTCTAAAACTGCAGAGGCTGTGGTTCTCCGTCCCCAGTGATCTTGCAACTTTAATTGTTAAAAAAAAAGAAAAAAAAAAAGGTAAGCTTTGCACAGATGCATACTTGGAATTCCCTCAGCTTGCTATTTAATAGCAGTTTGACAGCTGAGAACACAACAAAATCAATTCTATTTTGAGTATGCTTCTACCTTTAACCAAAGGCAGACTGGACAAGAAACAGTTTAATAAAATGTATTTTTCATGGTAAGTGTTTGACAAAGATGTATTAAGTTTCTAATACGTATGGTGGACACCAAAATATTGACCGAACCGGCTCACTGCACAATCAGTCTTAAAACAACCACACACTCAGACCTACAGGCGACTTCCAGTTTACTTTGCAATTTTTCTGTGTAGAAACCAGAGCACCCAGAGAAAAACCAACCCTCCAACCCGTACCATATCCACATTACTATGTTTCAGTTTTAAAACAGATGCGTTTTCAGGTGCGATAGTATGGACGGAGATAGTTACTGAGCTTAAAACCGTCATCTGGATGGACATTGTTTTCGTTTAAAAATGAAAGCGTAGTAGTTTAGACGAAGCCTCACAGGCTAACTTTAAAATACCACACATCCTTACATGCTGTATACACCATCACTCAGTGACAGCCACCTGTCATGGTTGTGTGGCCTGTAGTTACAACATTGATGACAAACAGAGGCTGGCAACCACAAGGACAGACTTCTGCTTCATCAAGGAGTTGTCTGCCGATATGACATGACCTTATGTAAACTAAATGAACCAATTGTTAGCCGTCTCTGCGCAGGGTTTGCTCTCTCGTGTAAGTTATCAAACTCCTCCTCATAAAATGCCCTCTGTGAACCCCACTGTCTGACATGCCGATGAACCCTGAGCCTAGAGAGTTAAACCTTGCAGATAGAGTGGTACATAAGGAACCAATTAAACTTGAGCCTGGGCCAGACATGCCTCTGCTCACTTTTGTAGGGGATATCAGCTTGGCAGATTGCAGCAGGCCTCCCTGAGCTGCCTCTGACCTAAAGATATCCTGATCTTTCACAGCTGTGATCCTCACAACTACGATTCACAGCCTGGGATTTCCTCTGTTGAGGAATTGGGGGATAAAGGGTTTTGTGAATGGCACATGGGGACGAGTAAACTAGATTATTCTAGGAACTACTCCAACAATCTGTTTAAATCAAAATTTAAAGTCAGAATGTCACTAATATATGCTTACTTGTGGAAAAGCTTAATTCATTTAAATTTGTCTGTGCTGAAACATGAGTTGTCTTTATTCTCATTCTTCCCAATTAAAAAAAGAGAAGAGCGAAGGGTTGAAGGACATTTCACAAATGCTGAAACCCACTGATTATAGGGTAATCCCGGACTACTCATGCCCAAATCACAAATATTGAACGGCCAATTCTCTTGTCCTTTCTCCACTAAATGCTCTGGGACTTCACAGCGGCAGCGCTGCCTTCAGTGATGGCCACAGATGCAGATAAAGGAGAGACAAATGAAAATCTATTTTCACAGCAACACACGTCCATTCCATTAAATGTTCCCAAGAAAAATAGATGACTCCAATAAAAGTTGCCATAGCAACTAAAGTGAGGCCTTCAACAGGTGTTTTCAGCTCATGCCGGCCAGAGGAAGTCTTGAGGACAGCGATCTGCTCAGTGAGTCAAGGCACACACACACACACACACACACCGGGTTGTGATTGATGTTTTAGCAACATCTATAATTCAAAGGAGAAGAAATCTAGCCCTTAATAAACTACCAGGAAAAACAAAAATGACATCATCCAAGCAGCAAAACATGCAACACTGTTGTTGGTCCACATTAGCTATGAAGCTGTAATGAGGGTGTGTTCCTTTAATTCAAAGCTTATGTGCTTAATGTAGGAAGTCCTCTTTACTTCGAGTACTGAGGTTCTTTTAGAATTAAAAAAGGTACCCCACCATCTCTACATAACTTAGCAAATGCAACAATTACAGACTCCCTGATTAGACAACAGGACAAAATGTTCCTAGTCATGGCAATGTATTTGCTAATTCTACTGCTTCTCGATTCTACAAACTGCAATATAACACTGAAATACAAAGTCTTAAAACAGAACCATGTGAACAGAAGCCACAGTGAAACACGGCAGGTGAATTGTTTTATGCTGTGTTCAAAAGATTATTACTGAGCGAAGCACCTCATTTCCAGTTCCACTGCAACTAATGGTGGCATACAAATTGTGCTTTTAGAGGTTATTATTTTCTGTCAGGCGTCACATCATGAATGCTGATGAAGCAGACATACAAAAGGCACATAGTCCATGATTTGAATAAACCAAAAAAAAGAGGTCCATCAGCTATAGATTCAGCTCATTCCCAACAGCAGATGTATTTTTCCTATAGTCAAACCCTATACAATGCAAGCAGAAATGGTGGGTAAAGAAAGCAGCGCATCCTTGTGTATAAATGTTAATGCGATCAATACTAGCGCCTCGCAAAGCATGCTTACTCGCTTCTTTAATCAACATAATTCTCAGCACAGCGATGCTCCATTGTTGCTGGACAGGATGTGGGTCAGGGAGCTAAGCCATGCACAGCCTTGTAGTAAAACTGTCCTCTTTATCTCTTCTGTCACTCTGTTATGTAATGCCGTTGTGTGCATGTGTACAGTACGTTTGGGGGGGGGGGGGGGGGGGGAGTCTGGCAGGGGGGTGGGGGGGCTAGGATTTCTGCTGACTTTGCGGGCCCCTGTCTGTGCTTCCCCTGTGTTTGTCTACTGAGGTAACTTGGCGGCACAGAGGGGGCTCTCCTGCTGATGAGGTGACGGAAAGCAATTCAGCAGAGCAAGTGGGCCAGAGGAGGTAATAAACACCAGATAATATACTAGCCATTAATGCCTTGTCTACAACAAACAATAACAGCCAGAGATCAGATGATAACGACAAAATATAATCCATTAATAATCCAACAGACATTGAATCATTTTATGAAAAAACTTTAAAAAGAGGAGCTTTAGTTATAAAGCCTAATCTACGGTGTGAATGAGAGTGAACTGAATACAGTGACCCCATTTGACTTACGCAGAAATTTCAAATGCAATGTATAAGCTTTATCCAACCTGACAAGCTGTGGTTCAACCACAGTGCAAATCATTTCTATATTTAAATGTGATCTGAATGGGAGTATTATGTACTGTCCTAACAAAATAAACTAGAACGGATTAGTACAGATTCCACAAACTGATATAAATATTAGACGACCTCAAAATTATCCAAAAAGTTAACTAATCAGTTATTAAACTACAGCTTTTAGCATCCAAATAAATGAATAAAGCCTAAAGATTTTGATGGTCTCAGCGCACAAAAGTGTTAAGACATCACAAAATAAATTCACTAAACTCACAACTGTTCACAAAGCACACACACAAAGCACACACTGCTCCGTTACAATGTGTACCGTCTTGCAGACATCATTATTAAAGACAAGTTTCCATTAATACATAAAAACACTTTAAATATGGCTACACCAATCGGGAATCCAAAGCAGTCTTGCTGAAAACGTGAATGAAGCCGCCTCTAAGAAAACACTTTATCCATACCATGCATGTCATAACAGATTATGCTCCCATGCCAGTGTGCAGCCCTGCAGAGGTATGTTATGATTAAATACAGGGCAGGGTCTGCGAGATATATATATTCTTTTCTGTGCCAAACAGGAGACGCCAAGTGCAGCACACATGGCAGAGTTGGAGCTGTCAACATGCAACACCTAGCTGTCAAACCGGACTTGGGGAGGGGGGGGGCTCAGTGTCTCCCCCTGGCATTTGTTCACGGAAAGTACACCACGTCCAAGGCCTATCCCCGCTTGCCTTTACCAGAGAGAAAGTCAACAAAATGGAGGAACAGATAAAAGTCACGTGACTCCTTTGTGCTTTCGGGCGCGATTTCAAGTGAAACAAATGGACACAACACGGCTCACGAATAAAATATCAAACCGCTACACCCTTATAATGACACCTGTGGTGAAACGGGGCCGTAATATTTCGTATTCGTCGAGAGCCGTCGTGTGCACTAAAAAGAAGATATGGCGGCCATTTTGCACAAGCTTGCGCAGGCAACATAGTGGCGCCCCTCGATATGAAAACACTTCCAAAGTGATCCAACACCAGTCGGGCAGCAATAAAAAACATACCGATTCCTCCTCTTTCTCCATCCCAGTTGGCATCTGCGGCACTGCCCGGTTGATTGAGGCATATTCGTGCAGGTCAGGCAAATCCTCGCAGCGGAAGACGGGTAGAGGCTTACTAGCATCCAGCGCCCGTGCCCGAAACGACAATTTACTCATTTTTATATTAAAAGATGCAGCATAAATCTATACGATCTGCTAGGAATAACAGCAGGTCTGCCTCGAGTTCTCATGGATGAATCTGTGACGGTCTCTGGGAGTCAGCCGGTCGATTGAGGGAAGGCTTGGGTCCGTAGTAGCGCGAACAGAGCCGGGCAGGCCCGGGTCTCGGTCGCTCTCTGTCGGTCTCTTTTTTTCCTAGGCTCCGCTGTTCCTCCCCGGTTCAATACGCCATGGCCAACATGGCGGACATTACAAACTCATGCAGCTCTCAGCTCGCTCCAAGCGGCCCAACCCCCTCGATCACACAAACAGCCATTCCCACGCAGTTTCGCACGCGTGCGCGCTCGCGAGACCCTTTGGGTACGGGGGAAGGAGGAGGGGGATGTGTACCAACGGTGGGGGCGAGATGCTGGATGCTGATGAAGGGACGTAAACTTCCCAGGCTCGGGATGTTCTCATCCTGTAATACGCCAGGCGCATGCTGACGTACGGAAACATATTTATTCTCTATGTAAAAAAAAAAAAAAATTATAAAAATAAATAGACAGTGAACGCCTGTCTGCCGCACAACAGCATTTAATAGATCATATTTCTGAGTGAAACACGGTCACCACTCATACGCACTTGTGTGGGATTGTTTTTTGACCTTGCAAGGTCACACGAAATTTCAAACTTCTGTCCTGTGTTAAAATTAATGTTCAACCAAAGACATGACACGTTCTCCCAATTAAATTCTATTGTTTTGCAAATGTCGCCACCCTGTGGTACAAACACTGACACACTACAATTCTTTGCAATTACAACTGTTTCTACTTCACTTTTATGTTAATGCACAAGTCATAAAAAACAGACACAGCTAGAAAAGTGGGGAAACATTCAAATCTCTATAAATGTGCTGTCAACATTGCCATCATTTTTTCTTCACATGATGATGGATTGTATTCACTCAGATTCAATATTACATATAACAATAAAATGTTTGTGCAGTAAATACCAATTTAGTAAATACCTATAATTTTGTTTAGTATAAAAAATGTGAAGTTGTAAATTAAAGCCTCATTTAAAATCATTTCTTTTGGTTATTCCTCAACTCCAACAGCACTGGAGAGCAGTACGCCCAGCAAACAAAATATAACAAGCTTACAGTGAAGAAATAAAAAAAATTATGATTAACAAGATGGAAAAATTATACAAATAGTCAGAGTCAGACTGAATATTATATTACTGTATATTAATTAAACTGTACTAAACAAGAACAACAAGTAGTCTTGGAGAAAATTACTGTCATTACTTGACATTCATGTGCATTATCTTTTTGTTCATCTGAAAAAAAATCTGTACTGGCCTATTAACAATAACTAGTAAGTTATGGTGTTGGTATGACCACAACAATGGCAGGATAGATCTGTGGAACCACACTTTGCAAAAGAAATCAAGATACATAGAAACAGGCAACAATGTTTAATTTGTCGACTGTCACTTCTTGTGATCAAGTGTAATTTCATCCGAGTGTAGCATCATCTTCTTGTTCGTAACTGTCAGGTGTGGAACTCAGCACAGTCGTCTTCTGCTGTGGCCCAAAAGCTTCAATAATGAGCAAACAGTGAATCCTAAGAGGTCCTTCTGCACATTACTGATGTGCTGAAATGTTATTTATATTTGACCACCTGTTTAGATGATTATATGTTTTACCTGTCTCTGCTGATGACATTTTAAAACCACAAATCTGCAACTGTCTGGATGGACAGTTTATTTAAATGAAATCACTTTTTACTTCATAACAATCATTCACTGCCTTCCAAAGCTGATCATTTACGAAATTCTGAAGCCAACGTGTTTGGCACAAATGATCAGATGACATTAAAAGTCGAGTAAATTAAATAGATTGTCCATTCTTAATATTTCAGCCAACAACTGCTGGGCATTTTACTTTTAGTGAATGTTTATGTTTGAGCTAAATCCAACAAGTAAATAGCCTGCAAAAAGAGGAATGTATTCCTCATACTTTGACTTCTCTAAATATGATACATGCAGTAGCCTTGACATCAACACTGGCCCTCAGACATTGAGCTGTATACACATAAACACAGCAAGCTACTTTTAATATTACAGCTCTATGGTCACTGCTTAAGATAGAAAAATATAGTGTATCCAGTAAGAATGTAAACTATACAAACAATCTCACTCAAGACAAATGTCCTCCTTGCTGAATGATCTTATTCTTTTTCCCCAGTTTAGAAACCGTGTTTTCTGCACATGATGCAAGAGAACCCATTACTTAAGTCTAGACAGACATTAGAAACTCTTGGATTCCCTTATTACAACAAATCTGCAAGTATATTTAAAATGACATGAATAGTCTGAATACCAATTACCAGCATATGCAATGTTGAAATAAATAAATAGGTGTATAGGCATTTGTAGGGTGGGTAGCCTCAATGTGCATTACGGGACCTCAATAAACATAAATAATACATACTAATGTTGTATATGAGTAGAATAAGGAATGCAAATAACCTGTAGGGGCGGATGAGGATTCCTGTGGGCATGAGTGGATGATCCAGATGTGGTGGGCTGACATGATAATCATCATCCATTTGGGAGCAATAGGCTCACATCTGAAGACCATAATGGAGGCCTGTGAAACACAGAGTGGCAAAAAAGACAGACTAATATAAAGAAAGCATCATTAATCTGTTCAAAATACATGGTTAATATGATTTATTAGCCCCAGAGATGAGCCATGTCTCAGCATATCTTGTTACAGTCTGTGTTTTCTTCTCGATTGGGAATTAATTACAGTCATAAAGTGAAATACAAGGGATCATCAGGGAGTAAATCTGGAGCAAGATTTGACATTTATCTACAACACACACCCACAGTAGCATTCTCAAGTTCACATTTGCTCTTTTCGTGTTCAAATGACAGATTGATTTATGTTGGACGCGATTGCCTTTGGACTGTTTAATAAGGTAGAATAAGTTTTGTTGCTACAACATCTCAGAGTGCACGTTAGTGCAAACCCATGTATGGAAGAATAAGGGGGGTAAATAGAGCAGGACACGGCAGAAAAAGAGTCAGAAATCGTCTTAGCAAATGTGGACGACAAGCATGCATTGCTATGAAGCCGATTACAGAGAAGATTTTAACAGGGCTGTAATTCGTTTCGAGCTCAAAGATCAGACACAGCTGGTTGAGTCAAGGAACAGTGACACTGAGGCTAGCTGACAGACTGCTAACGCTAGCTTAGCCCAGTTACCCTGACCCTGCGCCATTTACCAGCAAGCTAACAGTTTGCGGACACACTGCCAACAGTTTAATTTGAACTCGCAACTAACTTGTCCGCAACCGAAAACCGTCACTTTCGATTCCCACAAAGATAACACGGTAGAAAAAACTAGCTGGAGCTGGAGTTGCAACTTACCTGCTGCTAGCGAAGCCACTGGGGAGGATGATGATGATGGCAGTTCTTCTTCTGGTTGTCATGCTAGCGCAATGCTAACGGTGGTTAGCTCCCTTTAGGACGCCTCAAAGGAAAACGCTTTTCAATTTTTTGTTCAATTTTTGAAAGAACGGTTAACTCACAGAGAGAGGTCGCTGGAAACAAAAGCTGGGGTAGAGAAAGTGATATCCTGTCGCTGACGGTAAACTTGAATAGTTCGCTAAGGTTACTTCGACAAAAAGATCCAAACTGACCACCAAGCCACTTTGCAGGCGAATTCTGATTGGAGGGTGAATGCCACCAATCACCTGTGGAGAGCTTGGGGAGGATGAGCTCACTGGTTCCCCCGCCCACCCACGAATTATAATAATAATAATAATAATAATAATAATAATGACAATAATAATAATAGTAATAATTTTATAGCTTCCGTGTATAAATCATGCATTTAAAAGTATAAGAGCAAAGGCTACACATTAAAGTATACTGGCATCTAAATACACAGGCACAGGCAGACATTTAGAAAATGTTACAGATTTATTTATTATTAAGCCACTCACAACAAGTGAAGAGAAGAAACAGCTACAGTGTTTTTCCAAAATGATTGCAGTGTTTGTTATGTAACTGTCTCCAGGGCTGGTCATCTCCCTCCCCCCTCCCCCCTCCACAACACTCCCCCCACCATCTCTGCCCCTTCACATGAGACTTGTCGCAGGGCAGGGCTGCTGCCTCTGCTGCCTCCTCTGACGCTGTGGTTTTTGCACTAGACATTTTTTTTATGATCACACACAGATGAAAGAGAATGCTGCATAGTGGAAGCATATGGAGTCATTTTCTCTGATGCTCCACCACCACCACCACCTCCTCCTACCACCTCCCACCACCCACTGGCTGTGTTAAAGTTGCATGCATGCATGCCTGCCTGCTCAGTGACTCTGGGAGTGGAGGAGGCATCGCTATGATTAATATCGCTTTGCTACTCTCCCAGCAAGGTCATCAGCAACCATCTGTAGGCAGTGGAAAAACCCTAATATCCATTTAGATTTGAACATTGCATTGTTTCTCTGTGCTTACCCGATTCAGCTTAGTGCACTGGCAAAGTGGCTGGCACGTACACTAGCTGCTTTTCTTTTTCTTTAAAGTTGCACAGTATATTGCACCATTTCAAGCCTGCAGCGCTCTGTTTGATGAATTCACAGGTGTCTGTGGGAATACAAAAGCACCAAGACTTGAGGTTTCATGTTGATGTCAAAAATAGCATCTTCTATGACTATGTGTGAATTGTACATGAATGGGTTAGCTGCCTCATCATTTCCAGCAGGGTGTCACTTTCTTCTCCCCTCATCTAGAGGGCAGTGGAGACCCGTGTAAAGACCCGTGTCTCCACTGGCATTACAAGGCATAATGCAGAATGCTCACCTCACTGCCTCTTGCCTTCTGAGCCCTAAGTGACACTGCTGAGCCGACCGTCAGCATATATGGGAGATTCTCCTTGCACGTGCCTTACTGAAAATGTAATTAGCTTTTGTGGATTTTAATAACATGGGAGCATTAACAGACAACTAACCTTATACAAGAAGTAGTTTATGTAGGGGGATTCTGTTTGATTTTGTGTGTGTGCAGTGCATGCAATGAAGGCTTGGAGACTGGTAGTTCGGGGGTTGCATATTGAGATCAAGGGAAGCAAGTCAGACATCAACATCCGTTTCAACAACCCCTACCCCCCCGCCAAACAAGCCGGACCAACTGCTGACAACAGTTCAGATGAAGAATGTTGTTTCATTGTGCTGCACAACAGGGATCCCGATTGAAAAGTAGATCTCTTTCCGCGGCTGCTATCACTGTTCTTTAGATTTCGGGTTGACAACTGTTGTGATGGCACTCTTGTAGATGGGCTTGTCCATCTGAAACAGAGTGGAAACGTTTCATTGTGCAGGGATAATACTCATTTTGTGTCATATTACTGCTGGTAAATTGAAGGCATTAGTGACCAAGCATGGGTTTTTCATTTTCTATTGTAATCTCAGCATAAAATAGTTGACACATGCATATAATACCAAATGTCTCATGCCTGTCCTTTGATTTTTTCCTGTTATCTCTGTACCACGTCTACAGTACGCTCTTGTTTGACCATGTTAGTTGTCAAAATGTCCCTGCACCAGTGTCACAGAGACAAATTCCTACGTTTTCCTGTACAACCTCTGACTGACAAGCACTGACAGAGGGATTTGTCTGGGCAGGGCTAACCCTGCTCCAGTGTCTCTGCTCCAGCTCTTTCTGGAAGCGGGCAAACTCCCTGCGGTCATAGATGCTGGTGAGTAGTTTCCATAGCAGCAACAAAGCCACACCCAGCACCACAACAGAGGCTGATAGCACTGCGGTAATCAGGATCACGTTTGGACCTGATGGGCAATCTTGAGAAACAGAGGAAGCCATACCTCTTTGTCATTAACAGACTCTTGAGATTGATTGCTAATATTTATTTCAATCCAAGCAGCACCATGTAACTTTTTTGAAGAATTACAGTGAATTACAGTACACAGATGACTTAAAGTAATATTAGAAGACTGCACATGACAAACTACTTTGTCAGTTTGTGTGGGTGCAGAGGGGAACCATATGCAAAAAAGGGTACTGATCTAAGAGACAAGTTTCTCTGCTGAAGCCCTACTTTGTGATTCATTATTAGGATATACAGAAGATCAATTTTTACATAAAAGAAAAATCCCTAGAGCTGCTGTAACTGGCATAAGTTATTGAACTGTTCTGTTGTTGATGATGTATTGTTGCAGTCATGGAAAAAAAAAGAAAAAAATATAGAGACTCTGCTCTGCCTACCTCATTCAAGAGCTACATGAGCATGGATAGAGTCTTCTTTTTGTCCAGTGCTCAGCAGGAAGTGCACTCTGCAGCCCTCTGTGTCTACTTCCATACACTTGTGAAGGCCTGAAGAGGGGGCTACTGTTGCTAAGACACCAGCCTGACCTACCAGAGTGAGGTTCAGGGTGGAACATCTCATTTCGCACTCCTCTGGATTCAAGCCCAGTGAGAATGCCCTGCACAAGATGAATGCTCTGTGGAAAAGAATCATCAGTGTAAACAGACCTGAAACCTCTGAAGAAATTTGTGCCAGAACTCCATTTGAATTGTCACGTAATTTGCCTGAACTAGAAAAGTCATTGTACTGTGTGCAAGGTGCAGACGCTGGGGCAGGAGGGGCAAAGCTCACAAGTTGGGCCTTGAAAGCGGTCGTCATGGCAAATGCAGGTGCCACAGTGACAGTCCCCTCTGTCTGCACAAATCTGTCCGTCCTGAGACAGACAAGACTCCAAGCTGAGGGGGCACTCACACGCTCCACCACTGAATGCCGGGAGACACATACACACCCCGCAGACCTGGTGTAGTAAAACATGATAAAAGAAATGAGATATGATCACCTCTTGGAATATGTGACACGTATTATTTGACAGTGGTTGCCTATATGTGTTGTCCATACCTCCATGCTGCAGTCCTCGGTAATGATCACAGCTGAAATCACCGCATTCACAGAGCTGCTCTTATGACACACTCGCCGTGTCCACCGCACACTTCTGATACATTATCGTGGCGGCAAAGGTACGAGTCAACCACCCTGTGTGACTGTGCTTGATCGCATTCGCCAAATGTTCCAACTCTCCCCCCTTTACACCTGTAACATAGAAACAAATATCTGTTGCTTGATTCCACACTGAATGACTTGAAATTAGGCTTGTTATCAAAATCGATGCCATTAAGCTACTTCACCTGCCTGCATGTGCCACACTCCAGAGCGCCGTTGCCACAGCTACATCAAGGACTGTGTGGGACCATGTACTTTTGGCATGAGCACTCACATATGGGGCTCAGCAGGACCTAAAGCTATAGCCTTGGGGCTTAATAATAACACGGGATGGTCTTTGTGAAGCAGTCACACACTGAGGTGCTGTAATGCTTACACTGAAGCTCACCTAGAGGGGAGGTGAGAATTCCTTCAGCACAATTATAATGCTCCACTAATGAGGTAATCATAATTGGCATTACCACTGCTTCAACTGCCAATGGCCACATGCTAACAGCAGCACTTACACAATTTACCACACACAGAGCCAGCCGCTACACACCTCATCACCTATGGAGATGTCGGAGCACCTCCTCCCTTGCTCACCGTGCCTCAGCCTGTGGTCCTTACAGTGTGAAGTATAGGAGATGTGATAGCCCGGGGGCAGCTTGCTGTTCTCCATAACAACCTCAGAGGTCAGCGCCTGTAGTCAATAGAGCAGTTAACCTCTTAAAGATGGGAACGTGTAAGCAGGCTACACATATAAGGCTAATGACCTTTGTAGGAAGGGAGTTTCTGCATCACTTACATTATACGCGTCGACTATTATCTGCAGGATGTTGTGGGAGTTGTTGGAGAGCATTCTGACAGCACATTTTGGGAAGATGCTTTTTAGGCCCTGCAGCAAAGTGACAATATCCTTGCTATACATGAATATACTATATGCTTATTGACAGTCTGTCAGCTCCTCTTTCTAGCAGCCATTCTGTTACTGTTTATACTGAATATACTGTCAAAGCATGGATGCTTGAATTGGTCACAGTCAGAAATCACTCCCTCTGCTGGATGAAGGTAGTCTATGTGAAAGTGGGTGAATCTGATATGGACCCTGGGAGGAAAAAAAAACACTTATAATATCAGTTTTGATTATATTCTATACTGTCAAGAAATCCCATAAAAGCCCAAAACCAACAATGAATTGATCCAAAGTATTATCTGTGTTGTCACAGCCTGATATAGACCTTCAATGTTCAAACACTAATAAAAGCACCTCAGTGAGCCACACTGTTGCACTGGTGACACATTTCTTCATAACTATATACTTGTGCTCTATAGTTTATTCTGAGTCATCAATATCAAATGCACCATTTTGCTGCCATAAATACTAACCAACACCAAATGTAGATTAATCCGCCACTGAAAATAGACCCAACAAATGCACTATTTACTCCAGCTTGAGTGATGTTTGTCAAAAACTACAGTGCCCAATGGTTTTAGGGAATTATCTAGCCTTTTTTTTATAAAATAAAAGTATTAAGTAGTTGGTTTTGATCTTTCATGTTATTTTTGACAGCAATACAAATACAGATTATCACCAGCGGTAACCTTGGATGGAAAATTAGATGAAGTGAAATCCATGAAGATTTCAGCTTGTGCATTCTGCATATTTCTTGGGAAAAGCATCACAAAAATTG